CCCCAAAACCCCAAAACCCCAAAACCCCATTATACAAAATATGTGCTAAGTTATAAAATTTTATTAAATATACCCCTATACAGTAAGTAATGAGAGGAAATTTACGGACTTCTGCACCCAAATTTCTGCTAAAAGGATGCTAAACTTATGTATAGAGACTTTATGGGCAACTCTAATGTAAATTGCAAGGAATGATTACTGAAATCAGTCGATTCATTTGACCTAAAATCCTCTAGAGGTAAGTTTAAAATTAGAGAAATAATGGGATTTTATTCCAGCGTATAAAACTCTTACGAATGTCTTACCAGCCACTCGCAGAAAATTTACAATCAATAGGTGAAGCCAGAGAATTTTTGAGAGAAATCGAGTACCAGTCAGGATTCGGCCAAGACACAGTGGTTATTAGGTAAGCCAGTTTCTTATAGTTGTAGGAAAGTAGAAGAGAATGCTGAAAAGGATGCCTTTATTATCACCGCTCAGAAGGCTAAACAGAATGGTACAGCTATCCAGAAAGGTAAAGTTCGTTATTTTAGTGATTAGGCGGATCATGTTTTATACCATCTTTTTATTCAAGGTTTTTATGAATTTTGTACACAAAAGGCTTGACCAACCTGAAAATCTGAGTAGAGAGTGTGAGAGTTTAGAAGTTTACTCCCAATTGTGTTTATTAACAAAGTCTTGCTTGTTCTTACTACAACTGCCTTCTTTTTGATTGTATAATCCATTCCAAAGTCTGGAACTGACTTAGCTCTTTCATGTAGTACTATCAGATTTATGAATGCATATACCACCCAGAATGAATCTTACTTAGCCTATAAAATGCCTAAACTACATAATGGATCATCTCCCAGCTGCTTCGGTAGCTAGGCCACTAAATTTCTTCTACATATTAACTTGGAATTCTAATACCTGAATCTGTGAATAACTTTATAAATAGGTGCAGGAATTCAGACTGAGAAATAAAGTGGTCAATAAGAAGCTCCAGAAAATTGAAAACAAGGATGATATGTACGTTCCTTTAGTATAATCTCCATCAGGAGGATTCACAGTGTTCATCTGAAGGTTTTGAGCACTACCATCCCAAGTATTTTAGGAAAATATATTCACGGTTTATCTTTTGAGAGTACTGCTTTTGAAAATTTCACTATAATATTAGAAATGTGGGATTAGATTGTTAAGAACTGGAAGCGAGAAGCAATAAAAGAATGATTTTTAACCCCAATTTTAGAAGGAGTAGAGCGATTTGGATAGACTATAGACTAGTGTAAATTACCATTTCATAAAGCATTCCTTCTTTATTCAGATAGACTTGCAAACGAGAATTTATTATTTAGGGAAACTCGTGCTAGAAATAGGATTTGAAAAATATGCCAAAATAGTAGTTACTACTATCCCTATCAACCTTGTTATCTCTCATCTCTGACTGAAGCTCTCACCAGGGCTACTTTCTCAATCTAACTTTTTTGGTTCACCATTTCACAGATTGTTGAATATTTCTAAGGAAGTTGTAAAAATCTTAATTTTCCTATACCCAAATTTCAACTAAAAAATCTTAAATCACTTATATAGAGTCATAGATGACAGTGAGAGAGAAATTGATGGTAATGTTTGAAACCTAACTCATAGGCGCCCAGTTTGAAATCCACGTGGAAAACCTTGACTCTATTAAGAACTCCTCAGATGCCAGATGTGAGAAGAATTCTAAGAGGCTCAATCGCAATGTTGTAATTGAAGAGGAAATCAAGTGAGCACAGATCAGTGACTCTGACTCAGTCAGCAACTCTGAAGATAGTGATGAGCTTAACGACCAGGTTGAAGATGTTATAAATAATAATAAAAATCTCTTCGGCAGTGTCTATAATGGGATTATTAAAGTCCAGTTCTCTCCTATGAACTGAAAGAGGTTGAAAGAGCTCAATCAGACCGAAGAAGCCCCTGCTGTTATTGCTCCGCATAATTTTGGCAGTAAGTGTAACGTAATCATAATACAGAGGGACAACTGCAGGTTAGCTTCATGACCAAAAAGAAGGAACAGCAGAAGGTGAAAAACGTGCTTAAAACTCTGCAGAGCTTACTTTAATAATCTTTTATAAACAGCTTCATATTAGTTGAAATGGTTTATTCAATAAAGTCACTCAACTCTGGGGTTTTGGGGTTTTGGGGTTTTGGGGTTTTGGGG